CGGGCACTCACCAGCTCATGGTCCCCGCCGGCCCGGCGCCGCTGCCGGAAGTCCCGGCGCCTCCGCCACGCCCCTTCCGCCCGCCGCCATGACGACACGGCGGGGCGGGCGGGCGAGGGGAGGGTTAAGCCGCGCCGTGACGTCAGGTGGCGTGACGTCAGCGGCGGGACGTGATGTCATAGTCAGGCGGCTAAGGCTGCAGGCCCGGCGGGGTCCGCAGGCCCTGCCTTCCCGCTGGGCACAGCGGAGCAAAGGGGACGGGGACGGACACGGGGACGGGGACGGACACGGGGACGGACCCGGGCACAGGGCCCCACGCTCAGCACGTGGGAGGAAATTGCACTTCGGGAGCTATTTCCAGAAAGGAAACTGCACCAAAAAAACCCAAAATAACAAAAAGTGTCCTCGGTTGCAACGCAAAACACGGGAAACTCGGGCAAACGGCTTCCCGCGGGCCGCCCTCAAAGAGCCAGAACCGAGGCGGCCACGGCGGCGGGACGGGGCTGGGGCAGAGCGGGGCTTTTGGGGCGGAAAAGCGGCAGATTGGGGCCGCTGGGCAGGGCGGGGGTGACGCGGGGCGGACGCGGCGCCGCAGAGCTGAACCGTCACCCATGGGTGTCCCCTGGTCCCCCGCAGCCGCGTCCCGGCGGGAAAGGCCAGTCCCAACTCTCCAGGACTCCCGGGAATGCCGGCGGCTCCGGGCGGGAGCCGCGTTGGGCCCTTGCCCGGGGCCCGGTGGCGGGCGCAGGCAGCCCCGGCCCGGGTGCCGATGCCGGACCGGGAACGCCGTCGGGAAGCGCCGTATCCCGGCGAGCTCCGGAGGGAGGGCAAGGCCCGGCAGCGGGGACACGGGCACGCTGAGCGCCGGCGCGGTGTGCCCGCGCAGCCGGGGCCCGTCCGGCGCCGCGCGCCAGGCCGCCCCCGCTCCGCTCCGCTCCGCATTAAGGGCTGAGGCGGCAGATCCGCTTTCCGCCGCCGTTATCCCAGCCGGCCGCAAAATGGTGCCGGGAGCGGCACGCGGGGCGCCCGGAGCGCCGGGCCGGCCTGCGCGCGCAACTGAAGGAGAGGGGACTGAGAAAACGTCGGGTTATTTTTAAAAATCATACCAAAAAAATAATAAAATACAACACTAGAAAAAGGTACAAACAGATTCCAAAGTCGTCTGTAAAGAGGCACAGCGCCTGCCATCCTACACATTTCCAGCAAGCCATTTTAACAGTCGCCTTACATGTTAGAGACTTTGCTTTCTTCCAAATCAATATAGATTTTTTTTTTTAAAGCAAGGTAAAATAAAGATATTTACTACAGATTTTGATTGTCAGCAAACACAATATATTTACTGCATTAGCATTTGCTCACAGTGCAAATGGTACAACAATACATCAGTTCAATATTTCTGATTTTTTCCCTTAAAAATGCTGTATGCATTAACTATCATATTTGCATTACAACATGACAAATGAGCAAATGAAATGTGTGTGAAAATTATCACCTTTTCACAATATCAAGCATATTTTTTTTTTTAACCTTAGTATAAGGTACTATAAATCCAAGAAATAAAAACATCCACAAAATATATTACATCTGGTATGATTTTTTTCTCTAAGTACTCAACTTTATACAAAAGTCTTTCAAAAAATATCATTCCTTAGGTTTGTGTGGTTAAACCTGATTGTGTTTTTTGTTCCTCTCAGTTCACATAAATTAGACTGCATTCTTTCTCTTCTCTTTATTTTTTGTATGTTTTTCTTTTTTTTTTTTTTTTTTTCACTTTTATTTTAGCTCTTTTTTTTTCAATGTTAAGTTTGCAGCCTGCTATGATCTCTCCTTTGTGTTGCTTTTTCTTTATTTTCTGTTTTTTTTTTTTTTTTTTTTTTTTTCACATGCAGACATCAAACCTGGATAGCACGACCTTTTGGCAACAAAGATTTTTTAAAGTCATTATTATTTTTGCTTAGTTTAGCTTAAATGTCTGAGCACAGTTTTATTAAAACAAAAGAAGAAAAAAATCAGAGCAGTCATGCAATGACATGCACATACCAGAAGGAGAAAGAAAAAAAAATAAAATAGAGGACTAATTGATTTTTTTCTCCTCCGTAGATTTTTTTTTTTTTTTTTTGCTTTTAAAGTGACCAAATAAAATAAAATAAAAATATCTCACATTATAAAAAGTATTCAGCAAAATACTGTGGGGTTTTTTATTCTGCATTTCTGTAATGAATTTCCCTTCTGCTGGAAAAAAAAAAAATAATAAAAGGGGGGAAAACGGGGAAAAAAAGAAGAGGTGACGCGGGGGCCGCCTCCGTGCCGCCCACCGAGCCGGCGCTACCTGCGAGCGCGGCCCCCGCGCCGCTCCCGCGGCCGCCGCCGCCGCGCGGGGCTCGCAGCGGGCAGGGCCGGCCCGGAGCCGGACCCATAAAGTGACTTGGAGCCCGAGGCGGCTCCGGGGGTGCCGGGTTCGGGTCGGGGGGGTCCCGCCGCGCTGCGGAGCCGCGGCCGGGGAGCCGGGATGGAGGGCGGGGAGCCGGGAGCGGGGCTGCGGAGCCGGCGCTGCGGGAGCGGGAGCGGGTCCCGACGCGCCGAGGCCGGGGAGCCGGTGGCAAGCGGGGGAGCTGGCACCGGATCGAGGGAGCCGGGAGCGGCAGCCGGGTCCGCACCGACCGGGGCAGCCGGGGCTGAGCCGTGCGGGACGGAGGGAAACGGCTCCCCCAAACCGGAGCCGGGCGAGCCGAGCTCCGAGCAGCCGGGGCGGGCAGTGTGTGGGGGGGTCGGCCCGGCCGTCGGGGCCCCGCCGGGAGCAGAGGAGGCGGCCCGGAGGCGCCACAGTGCCCGTCCCGTCCCGTTTCACCACGGTGGCCTCAGGCGCACGTGGTGACGGCAGGGGCAAGGGCAACGGGGGGCGAGGTGGTGGCGGCGGTGGCGGGGGGTGCGGCGGGGGGCGGCCCGGAGCCCTTCTCGGCCTTCTTCTCCTTCTGCTTGAGGTGGATCTTGGCGTGCCGCTTGCGCTCGTCAGAGCGGGCAAACTTGCGGCCGCAGAACTCACACGCAAAGGGCTTCTCTCCCGTGTGGGTGCGGATGTGGGTGGTGAGATGGTCGCTGCGGCTGAAGCTCCGCATGCAGATGCGGCACTGGAAAGGCTTGTGGCCCGTGTGGATGCGGAGGTGGCGGGTGAGCTCGTCGGAGCGCGAGAAGCGGCGGTCGCAGCCCTCGGCGGGGCAGGCGTGGGGCCGCTCGTGCAGCGGCGTCTTGCTGGGCCGGTTGGGGTACTTGCGAGGCCGGATGGGCTTGAGGGTGAGGGGTGGCTGCGGCAGCCCCCCGAAACCCGGGTGGATCTGCTTGTCCTTGAAGGCCTTGATGGTCTCCAGTGGGGTGATGGGGGGTGGGTTGACACGGATGGGGTCCAAGCTCTGGAAGGGTTTGTGCTCTGTGATGGTGCCCATGTCGTTGGGATGGTGGTAGAGGTTATAGTCTGGGATCATAGGGAAGAGGTTGCTGTCCAAGGCGGGCTTGGCTGCCTGGTAATCCTGGGGCGAGTAAGTGAGGCCGGGGTTGTTCTGGGGGTCGTGGAAGGAGACGGGCTCTGGGTAGAGGTCGCTGCAGGAGGAGTAGGGCGGCAGCGCGGGGTACATCTGGTCCACGTCGCCCTGCGGTGGCCCCATGCTGCCGGCCGAGCTCTGCGTGCTGGTGAGCGCGCCCGACGACGGGGGCACCCCCAGGATCCCCGCGCTCATCAAGCTGATGATGTTGTCCTGGCACCAGTTGGAGGGGGAGTCGAAGGCGAATTTTCCCAGGTAGGTCACAGTCTTGTTGCCCGGGGCGGGCTGAAAAGTGCCCGAATAGGAGGACAGTTCCTGGCTTGCCTTTTCGTTCGCTAATCCAATGTCCATAACATTATCTGCAGAGTGGGAGAGAAGCAGCACGGGGTGAGCGGCGGGTCGTGCAGCGGGGCCCTGCAGTGAGACCGAACCGCCCCCTCGACACTTTCCTATTCCTCGCTATCCCCTCTCCCGGGCAACCGGCAGGGAAGCGAGGCAGGGGCTCGGCGGCGGCCGCGTTGCTGCACTCCGGTTATTGCGGCGCCAGGTCCCTGCGAGTGGGCGGCCCGGGGCATCGTGCGTGGGGCCCCGCGCCACGGCCGCCCCCGCGCGGCCGCCGACCCGCGGGGAGCG